GAGAGAAAGATACCTTCAGGAATTTTTTACAATGTTTTATTCCAGCAGGAATTAGCTTTTTTCCATCTTGATGAAGTGCCTCCAACCTCTCTCTGGGTTTCTCCTGTAATAGAAACTCTGGGTCTTTTTTCTAATTTCCATTTATGTTCCTCATTTCCACCTGACGCCTCATCATAATTGACCTTTATGGTCCAAATATTTTTATCAACACACTGTTCAGAATGACTTGGGTATTCTTAAAGATTAAGGCTTTCTCTACAGCTCTCCTATTTTCTTTCTGAGCTCTCACCAGAACCACCCTTAATGGTATATTCATGGCAATGTAGATTTATTTCTAGCATGTAGTTCAAAACTTTTCCAGCTTCTACCCATTACCCAGTTCCAAAGTCACTCCCACATTTTTAGACATTTGTCTACTTCTTGGTACCAGTTTCTGCCTTAGTCCATTCAGCCTGCTATAAATATTGTCTCCTAGGTGGCTTATAAATATTTCTCACAGTTCTAGAGGCTGAGAAGGCCAAGAACAAGACAACAGCATGGTTCCATTCTAGTGAGAGCCCTCTTCCTGGTTCACAGCCAGCATGTCCTTGCCATGTCCTCACATGGGAAAGAGCTGCTTATTGCTTGAAGTCATCTTTTGTTTATCACCACTATCTCTTTCCTAGTCCAGAGCATATTTCTCATTTTCCCCCTCAATTACCATGAAAACATTCTGTCTAATCTCCCTGACTTCAATCTTACTCTCTCTGTTCTCTACACTGCAACCACAGTGATTTTTCTAAAATGGAATTCTGGTTATCCCACCCTCCTGCTTAAAACCATTCAAAGGCTCTCCTTTGCTTTTAGGATGAAGTATGATCTTCCATTGCTTACCTTTTCAATTTCTTAATTTATCATACCTCATCTAGTGCATAGTACCTAGCATATAGTACAGTGATGGTGAACCTTTGGAGCTCGGCATGTTAGCATTTTGAAAAACCCTAACTTAACTCTGGTGCCGTGTCACATATAGAAATTTTTTGATATTGGCAACCATAGTAAAACAAAGACTTATATTTTTGATATTTATTTTATATATTTAAATGCCATTTAACAAAGAAAAATCAACCACCGTAACCGGTTTGGCTCAGTGGATAGAGCATCGGCCTGCAGACTGAAAGGTCCCAGGTTCGATTCAGGTCAAGGGCATGTACCTTGGTTGCGGGCACATCCCCAGTAGGAGATGTGCAGGAGGCAGCTGATCGATGTTTCTCTCTCATCGATGTTTCTAACTCTCTATCCCTCTCCCTTCCTCTCTGTAAAAAATCAATAAAATATATTTTAAAAAATAAAAATAAATAAATGTTTGAGAGGCCAGTTACTACCTGACCATCTCAAGAATTCTAAGATGGGGTGAGTTACAGCCAGTGTAACACAGTGGCCAAATAGTTCCAATGCCAGACTGAGGAAAGAAGATGCTCCAGCACTGAATGAATGACCACATGGTATTGAAGCAGAAGATCCCAAAGTCCTGAGGTGAGCGGTGAAGGGGGTGGGTTTCTGAGATGCCATCTACCAGTCAGTCATCAGCACTGTATGCAGACCATACCACCAAACTGATTTGTTTCCAACAGCTTGCAGCAACTAGAGGCCTATGAAGCCTAGCTTGTTTTGTAACAGACAACTCAAAGAACAATATATGGTATAATAGTTCAAAACTAACTTTGGAACTTCTGTATATTTTTAATAATTTAAGTGAATACTACCATTGAGAATGAAAGTGTTTTAAGCCTCATCAAATACAGAAAACTATGGAGCAATGTTAGATATCATTCTTTCACCTCCTGTCAATGAGGATGAAGGTTTGTGAAGCATAGAGAATCTGCCAAAATCTGAATGCCTAAACTTTCAAGTGTGCAAGAGCCTTTCAAGTAAGGCAGGTACTTACTTGCTCTGACAAGTGTAGATGTTCTGGCTGTGTTTATTAAACAATGGTAAACATCTGAATGAAAAGTAAAACATCATTTAGATGGTCTGTCTGCTTTCCAAAATTTAGTTATTTGGAAACATCCAGAAATATTTAGATATATCTGACAGACAGGGTTTATCTACCCCATGGCTTTGGAATGCAACAGATACATGGAGCTTTATGGGATATTTAAGCATTTTGAGGAAAGAATCATGTCTAATTTTTGTTGTAAGCCAAGGACTCTCCCACAGATCCCTATTCAATAAATGCTAGGTGATTGAATGAATAAGAATTAATTAATGCTTCTGGATTCCAAAGGTGCTGCTATCTATTATCAAGAAATAAGGTGAGCCCAGGTTGCTGGCTCTAACCCTGGTGAGGGGCATGCAAGAGGCAACCAATCGATGTTTCTCTTTCACATTGATTTTCTCTCTTCCTCTCTTAAAAAAAAAAATCAAAAACATTTTTAAAAAATAAAATTTTAAAAGGTGAGAGAAATGAAAATATGCTCACAAAAATATTTGAAAAAGAATATTTATAGCAGCCTTATTCATAATAGGCCCCAACTGGAAATATCCAAATATCTATCAGCTGGAGAATGGATAAACAAATTGTGTTATAATTCATACAGTAGACTATTACTCAGCAATAAAAAGGAATACACTACACAGAGATGGATCAAGAAAACACTATGCTAAATAATATAGTTGCAGTTCTGGCTGGTGTGGTTCAGTTGGTTGAGCATCATACCTTGCACCAAAAGGTCGCCAGTTTGATTCCCAGTCAGGGCACATACCCAGGTTGCAGGTTGGCACATACAGGAGGCAACTGATCGCTGTTTCTCTAGCACATCAATGTTTCTCCCGCTCTCTTTTTCTCTCTCCCTTTTTCCCTTTCTCTCTCTCTCTCTCTGAAGTCAATAAAAACGTACTTTAAAAAGTACATACTGCCGAAACCGGTTTGGCTCAGTGGATAGAGCGTCAGCCTGCGGACTGAGGGGTCCCGGGTTCGATTCCGGTCAAGGGCATGTACCTGGGTTGCGGGCACATCCCCAGTGGGAGATGTGCAGGAGGCAGCTGATCGATGTTTCTCTCTCATTGATGTTTCTAGCTCTCTATCTCTCTCCCTTCCTCTCTGTAAAAAATCAATAAAATATATATTTTTTTTAAAAAAAGTACATAGTATATGATTCCACTTTTAAAAAATCCAAGAACAAATAAAACTAAAGAGATAGAATTCAGGGTTTGCAGGGGTGGGTGGTGGTAAGTGCAGAGTAATCAACTATAAAGGGGCATGAGGGAACTTTTTGGAGTAATGGTTCAGTATCTTATTTGGGGAGTTACATAGGTCTATATTACTGTTGAAATTCACAAAACGGAGCACCTAAGATCTATATTAGTATACTTAATTGTATGTTAAGGATAAACCAATGAAATAATTTTAAAGCAAAGGTGAAAGAGCTGGTATAGGTAACCATCATGGCATCTTTTAGGGTCCAATAATAACTGCCCTCAGGCATTTGAAAAAGTCAAGCTACCTCTAATGCTCAAGAACCCACCATGACTTATCACATGCTATCAAATCTATATCCTTGTCTGATCTCCATACAAAACCTCCTCCATGACTTCTCCCACTTCCCACCCTACCAAGGTAATTGCTCACTATCTCCCACATAGATAATTTGCTCTTTCCTATCTGAGTCTCCTTTATGTCCTTACCCTGACTAAATCTTACACAAAATTTTTCTCTACCCTTCAAGTCCCATTTTATGTGTGTGTGTGTGTTTTAATCCTCATCCAAAGATAATTTTCCCATTGATTTTTAGAGAGGGAGAGACAGAAATGTTGTGAGATTGGTTGCCTCCTGCACGCACCCCGAATGCTGCCAGTGATTGAGCCTGCAACCAATGTACATGCCCTTGACCAGAATCAAACCATGATCCCTTCAGCCCTCCGGCTGATGCTCTATCCACTGAGCCAAACTGGCTAAGGCCAAATCCCATTTTAAATTACAGAGCCTCCTTCACAGAGGAACTCTAGATTAATCCTAGTCAGTCTGAGCACCATATGTTCTCTTGACTTTTATGTTCCTTTGACTACTAACATGATGCTTTAATGCATCCCACAACCGAAGCAATTGAAATAAAATGGACAGAGACTGTGGCTAGGGATCCCTTTCTATTTCCTTGCAGGACCCAGTTCAGAACCTGCATATTCAGGCCAGTCAGTACAATGCAGATTATGAAGATTATATGGGATCCAGATGAGGGCAAATAGTTTATCTAAGGACCAATGAGAATGGGAGCAAAGGGAGCTCTGAGGTCAAGAGCCAAAGTGAGCTGTTTGCTTTTCCTCTTTTAAGCTCGAGGTTAGTTAGTTCAATAAGGAAGGGACTCATCCCCACTGAGATAGCAAGTGGCCGAGAACAAGGTTTTATGCTTTTTCTGCTCAGCCTTCCCTCCTAAACCAGTGAGGAAACGGGCCAGCAAAGCTCTGAGAGGAGTGGAGTCTGTTCCCGGCGTCAATTTTCCTTATTACTGGGAGGACCCCATCCTGAAGGAAGAAAAGAGAGGCGGGAGTATTTAAGGCCAAGGAGGCAGTCAAGCCTCTTCCCTTAGATTTACTCCTAACACGTATGCAGGAAGGCAAATTACAAACCCCAACGCTCACAACCACATATACACGTGCACGTCCAGCCCCACGGAAGCAGACGCGCATGTCTGTGGGTCCGCGCGCGCACCCACTTAGTTTTCTGTGCTATAGATGCTCCCCTATTTCACCCCAGTTCGACCCAGCCTGGCGTCCCCTGTCCTCGCACAGAGGAGGTTTTACCGGGCCCACCCGGCCCGGCCCCGGGAAAGTGTTTCTGTACAGCGGGGGAGGGGCAGTCCTTCCCTCCCGGGCGGAAGCGGCGCGCGCCGCCGGGGCAGACTTCGCTCTTGTCCTGGGAACATCTGGAGGAGCTGGGAGGGGCGTGCACCCAGGGTGAGCGCGGATTGGCTGCGCGGGAGGCGGGAGGCGGGATCTGGGAGAGGGGCGGAGTTCCCTAGCCCCTTTAAAGCCTTGACATCAAGAGGCGGACCCAGCAACCCCCCTTCTCAGCCCCTCGCCCCCGATCCTTGGCCATGGACCCGGCGTATCCGGCCTGCCCTGGTCCAGCTCAACACCTGATTTCGGTGAGTTGTGGCCTCCTTGGGACTTAAAGGCGGCGAGTGGTGGGGTCTGTAAGCCACGGGCTGGGGGTGAGAGGCATGAAGGGTAAGGCGCTCGCGGCAGCCTTGGTTCAGAGCGGGCAGCGCGGCTTCCAGCCCGGACCTCGCTGTCTGCCTCTCCCTCCCGCCGCACTCTCCCCAGGGGTCGGGTTGGGACTCTGTCCACCCCCACCCCACCCCCTTCAGCCCCCCGCGCCATCCTCGCGCACACTCCGTGGCCCCGGAAGGGAAACTTTCGGAAGAGGGGGATGTTCCGGGGGCGGTCTCCCTCCTTCTTTGAAAGCACTGACCTTGTCCCAGCTGCGCACCCCACCCACCCGCATCCCACCGTCCGGGTGCCGCTTAGCGGTGCCCGGTGGTTGCGGCGGGGGAGGCTCTTCCCAAAGCGCAGGCGCGGAGACGAGCCGCGGGCTCCTCTGTACACTTCGCAGTTCCTGTGGCCTGGGGCGGCAGGGCGTGGAGGAGCGGGGAGAGGCGGAGAGATCAGGGCCTCGGGGACCGACCCTTCGTGGCTTCGAGGGGAGGCAGATCGGAGGAGGGCAGCCCGATGGGCTGAACACTAAAGAGAGGCCGAGGGAGGGAGAAGGGCTGGGCAGGGAATGGGGCCAGGGCAGCGCCTGCAGAAAAGACTCTGGTCCTGGCTGCGGTGTCAGAAGAATGCCGAGAACGCCCGACACTCCCCTGGCCTAGCCCGACCGGGAAGGCGGTTGTCCGAACCTCAGCCCCCCTTAAGGAATCTCCTTATCCTTATCCCAGGTGGACCCAGGATAAGGATACAGCCCTGGCAATGTCCCAAGGGCACAGGGGCACCGAACCTCCCACAGGCCTAGTTGTCCAGGTGTGTCAGCGCTATCCACCCAGCCTGTCCAGCTGCTACTTTTTGATGCCCGCCTTTCTAAGGACCCAGGGGTCTTGGGCTGATGAATTCCCTCCCCGGCTATAAAGGCAATTCCTCTTACTCTGTTCTGTCTCCCAGAGGTCTTCCTGCCTAAGCACAATTGTCTGCCAGAGGTCATGGTTGGAAACATATGCCTGGGACAGAGATAGTCCTGAGGGACACTAAAGAGGGGGTCAGTGTCTAGCCATTCTGTGGTTAGTACTTGTGGGGATGATGGATCTATCCCAGTTGCCTGTTGCAGACCCTCTTGCAAGACATGCCAGCTGGCTCTGAGACCCCTTGTCTGGCAAAAAGGGCGACACAAAATTCACGTTCATATTGGCCCCTTGTCTCCCTAAGAACAACCTGGGTTATTGTGCTTCCTACCTCAGAGGGACACAAATATTCCTCTCTGGGGAGATTCCCACAAGTTCAACTTTGTTTTCAAAGTCTATGGTCTGTGTCTTAGGTGGCATCAGCCCTCATGCATGAGGTGGCATGGGCCCTCCATCATGTTTCATGGCCTGAGCTGCAGGGAACAAGGGTCTTCCACAATAGGCAGGTGAAAACCAATATACATGAGGACCAAGCTGTTGTCGCTGTGGACTGGGCCAGAAGTTTTGGTCCCTGCACTTAGCCTGCTGTATGACCTTGGCCAAGACAGTTTGTCTCCTGGGCCAGTTTACCCCACCGATAAAATTCAGCAGTTGGGCTGGAAGGCTCTAACAGTCCCTTCCACTTGTGGTACCGTGTGGTTCCACTGATGAGTGATTCCGGAGGGGAGAAAGGTCCTCCCGTAGGGTGGCCCATTTGAAGAGGTAGGTGTTAGGTGATGTTCTAAATCTCATGATTACTTGGGATTAGAACCTTGGGAGGAGAGGAGTAGACTACCTTATCCTACCTAAGAGTAGTCCTTGTCCTTCTCACCCCTGGTGCCTTGGGCTATGAACTGCTGCTGGGGTTTGGCCCACCCATCAAGGCCTTTGGTGAGACATCCTGGCGGGCCAGCCTTTGAGTTGGGCCTATGGGGAGGGGTTGAGAAAGGAGGAGGCCGCCAAAGGCCAGCAAAGTAAGCAGATTCCCAGGAGACAGTTTGCATCTCAGTTGTTGGGACTTGTTTTAGGATCTGGGCCAGAGCACAGCACACTCATCTGCCCTCTTATGGGAAGAAGACAAGGAGGGCCCACTGTTGTTGCCCATTCCACTCCCTGCCCTACTCGCCTCACCTCTGCACTCACACCCCCAACTCCCAGGCAAGGGGCTAAGGACTCTCCCCTGCTGCCCGCACCCAGCCCAGCCAGCCTCCCAGGCCCTGCCATGCCAGCCCACTTTTCCCAGCCTCCTTCCCTCTGGGTTGAAGGCTTTCTCAGGAGTCGGGCTCCCCAGGTTGGGACTTGCTCTGTAGCCCAAGAGCCAAAGGCCTTCGCTTTTTCCTTGTTTGTTTTCATCCTTGCTCTCCCAGGTGCTGAGTGGGATGTCGGAGAGTTAGAGAGGCCATGGGTTGGTTGGATGCCAGCAGATTCTCCTGCCAATATTGTCCTTCCCTCTGCTAGCCCCCTTGGGCCCTGCTTCCCATGGGAGTGAAACTGCAGCAGGGGGTGTTTAGTTAGACCCCCAAGGAAGCCTTTCTCACTGCTAGGAGCCCCTGGAAGGGAGAACTGAAGCTCCCAGGGAGGTCAGTTTCCCAGAAAGTGGGTGATGGCAGAGTCCCCGTCAGAGTGAAGGATGCAGCTGTTGCTAGGCAGAGGCTGCTGTTCCCTCTGGGGTGTGGCTGACGCTGGCAAGCTAGAGACCTCTTCAGAAGCAGGAAGAGCCCTAACCTGTTTGGCTCAGTGGATAGAGCGTCGGCCTGCGGACTGAAGGGTCCCAGGTTCGATTCCGGCCAAGGGCATGTACCTTGGTTGCGGGCACATACCCAATAGGGAGTGTGCAGGAGGCAGCTGATCGATGTTTCTCTCTCTCATCGATGTATCTAACTCTCTATCCCTCTCCCTTCATCTCTGTAAAAAATCAATAAAATATATTTAAAAAAAAAAAAAAAGAAGAAGCAGGAAGAGAAAGGACCCTGATTTAGTAGCTGAAGGGTCCTGGGCCCCACCAGCCATGGGTCACCAGAACTGCGTCTCTCAGAACAAGTGCTGCTTCCTGGCCCTGTTTCCCCTGGCTCCTCCCCCAGTTCACCACCACGACTGTCTGCTGTAACAGTCCTCACCCGAACCTGGCAGGCTCCTCCAGCCCCAGCCAAGCTGCACTAGAGGACTGATTGGATTTTCTACACTCAAAGTTTGGGATTTCTGATTGAACATGCAAATTTATGTAAAGTAACCTGAAATGTGCCACTACATCAAAGCAACATAGAATCATAGACAGGAAGGAATCCTAGAGACAGTGTTAATGCCCTCGTGTTAAAAATGGGGAAACTGAAGTCCAGAGGGAAAAGTGATTCATACAGTGATGAGTGTCAGGCAGGGCTCCTGACTCTGGTCAAGTGTTTTCCATGGTCCCATTCTGCCTTAGTTTCTCGTGCATGAGGAGGCCTGGCTGAATTTAAAGCAGAGAAGGTAGTTCTTGAAGATGAGATTATAGAGAGCTGGGCCTTAGGAGGGGCAGGGTATTATTTCAGGAAACTTCCAAGGGCTCTGGTCAGCTGTCTAATATGTGGAAGTAAACAACTTTAAATCCCTCCCAGCATCACGCTTAATACTTTTCCCCAGGCTCTGCCCTGGAAGGTTAGAGGACAAGGTCATTGGTTGCTACCTGGCTTGGCTCTTATGGTTTCTCTGGAGCTGAGTTGCATCTGTTCTTAGCATCGGAGCTGAGTTACATATGTTCCTAGCATCTCTCCCTAGCATCTCTGCAGGACCAGGCACATATAGACTGTGGATAGACCTTTACAGGCAATGTCTTTATCCTTACCTTCTCATTTGAGTCCCTGCTGCTTCCCTCTGTGGCCACCTTGGGAAAGGGTCTTCAGTGTTCTATGGCTCTTTGCACACCCTTCCCTGCTCTCTTGGAGGGCACAGGCCAGCTGGGCCTCCTCTACAGTTTTCTGCAACATGATCAGCCCAAACAGACCTTGCTATAGGAAGGATCTCATTATTGTAAAATCAGTGCCAAAACGGAAGGGGGCTGAGGATATGGGCTTTGGTTCCCAAGAAGCAGTCTCCCCACTTCTGATGGGTTCTTGGTCTGATCCGCCTACCCAGCTTCAGGATGCGCCCCGCTCCCACTTTATGGACTGTACCTGTGGCATGCGGTTATTTGGAGGGCTAAGCCCCCACTTACCCTGTGGTTTCTGCTCGAGTTGCAGAGATGGAGGAGATGCTCCAAGCAGCTGTCAGGCTGCTTTGCAGAACTTGGGGAGAGAGGGTGGGTGTATGCACTCAAGATCAGAGGCCCTGGTCCCAGACAGGGCTACCACCAAGCCCTGCTTCACCTGGGGAGGGGCTTGGGACACACATCTGGGGTCTTTCCTCACCTCCTCAAACCCAGATCTGGCTGACTCTGGAAGGAGTGCCCTTATCTTCAGTATCCCCTCAAAACACAACAGATATGGAGCTGGCACCTTCGTTTCTTCACTGCCCAGTGGCCTTGGCACTTGCATCCTTAGCTCTGTTTGAGGGGAAATCCTTCTCCCTGAGCCTCAGTTTCCCAGCCTGTGCTGATGGATTAATAACACATCATCATTGGGGTGTGGCACCTGCTCGATAATTACCGTTTTCCCAGCTCTGGGAGTTACAAGATGAAAGAGTCCTGAGGAGGCCAGGCTGTTATTAAGGTGAATTATCATTGCTGTTATTACTGATTTCTAAAAATCCAGCAGCCACTGAGAAGAGCCCAATCAGGCACAGCTCCCTGAACCTTATGCTGGTCCTTGAGCTCTGGGAATTCTTCAGTCCTCAGTAAGCTTTTTTTTTTTTTTTAAAGTATAGCTAATTTTATTTAATTTATATTTTTAATATATTTTATTGATTTTTTACAGAGAGGAAGGGAGAGGGATAGAGTCAGAAACATCAGTGAGAGAGAAACATCGATCAGCTGCCTCCTGCACACTCCCTACTGGGTATGTGCCCGCAACCAAGGTACA